AAGTTTCGAGGTCGATCGCAATGACACGATGCTCACATAGGGGCTTGGCTGTGCGCGATAGGTTCATCATAGAGTCGCCAGACGCCTGTCAGTCAGAAGATTTTCATGTGAACTTACTCTCCCAAGAAAATAATATCGTTTTGGAGAATTTCCCTGAACCATTCAAAAAAGATGAAAGGGAAGTAATGGGAGACGGGGGTGTACCACAGGGAGGAGGCGATGAATAGCGTGCTCGCATCCCATTGGCTGCAAAGGATGCACCGAATGGCAATGTGTCCCAACCAGAGCTCAGAGGCCAAGGAGAAACTCAAGAACAAGAAGACGGACAGCAGGCCGGATGACAGTGAGTGAGCCTGGCTGCCCTTGACCGTAGACAGTAGGGGGCACGAGTGAACGGGAAGATGAATGTACTAAATGGCAAGTTTTCTCCTCCCTTTAGCATCTTAGCTATTTTTTTAAAAATATATTTGTATTGATTTCAGAGAGGAAGGAAGAGGGAGAGAGAGATAGAAACATCAATGATGAGAGAGAATCATTGATCGGTTGCCTCCCGCCCTCCCCCTCCCGAAGATTGAGCCGACAACCTGGGCATGTGCCCTTGACGGGGAATCAAGCCCTGGACCCTTTGGTCCATGGGACGACGCTCTATCCACTGAGCTACACCAGCCGGGCAGTATCACAGCTATTAATTCAAGTGAGTAAGCGCTGGGTAGTCGTTACTGTATGGACAGGCCAAGGAGAGGCCGCACAAATGCAAACTTAGAGAGGAGAGAGGGAGAAAAAGGGAAAAGAACCTTTCTCTGCTGCTTTATTGACTTTCTCCCTCGAAAGAGTTGGGAGAAACCATAAGTAGAATTAACACCTGTAATACAGGTGTTTGATAGATAAATGGTTAAATTAATAAATAGGTAAAACTAGAATCTTAACGGAAAGATCGATGTTTTGGCCCCTCAAAAGACATGTGAAGTCCTACCCCCGGTCCCTGGAAATGTGACCTCATTTGAAAGCAGGGTCTTTTCAGATGTTCCATTAAGATGAGGTCCTTACAACAGGGCTGGGGAACATCCGGCCCGCGGGCCATATAAGGCCCGAGAAATCCTTTGGTCTGGCCCTGCCAAGGCATTAGGGGTGAGTTAATGAAATGTCTGGCTAAATACCAGCAGGCTCATTTTTGAGTGGATAATTTTGCTTGGCCCGCGAATGAGGTTATAGCTCTACAAATGTCCCTTGGCAGGGAACGGTTCCCCACCCCTGCCTTATAAAAAGGAAAGAGACAGACACAGAGGGAAGACGGCCACGGAGGGACAGAGACTGTGGCGATGCCACTCCACCCGGGGGAGGCCTGGGCCTCCCGAGGCTGCGAGGAGCCAGGAGGGTCCTCTCCGGGGGGAGCGTGGCCCTGCCAACACCTTGGCTTTGACTAGAGCCTACAGAACCATCAGAGAGACAGTTCTGTTGTGTTAAGCCACCCGGTGTCTGGGAATTTGCTACAGCAGCCGTAACGCAATCACCAAAAAGGAAGAGAAATAGAAGATTGACTATAATCAAGTTCTTTGCTTTTCCCAAAAGTGCAATTAGTGGAAGCAATGGGCCACCAGAGGATAATATTGAGAACAAACATGGTAACACGGGTTCCTTGAGTTGGGGAGCCTTAACCCTAACCCCACCTTTCACATCTCATCACCCCCCTCGGTAGCCAGGGTCTCTCACAGTAAGTGCTCAGTCAGTGCCTGCTGAGCGATGGGGGAGTCATGAGTAAGTGGACGAATGAATGAGCGTCCTCCACCTCTGTGCTTGACACGCGTGCCCTGGGAACGACGCGAGGGTTCATCGCATAGCAAGGGCGCAAAAGGCATCTGAAACTGTCCCCGCGGGAGGGATGCTGAACGGCAAAGTACTTGGCTCCTTCCGACCTAGCGAAGCAACATTGAACTTGGACTAATTACAAGTGGGACGTGAAAATTCGAGAGGCGCAGTCTACTTGTCTGATTCAATGCCTTCTAGTTGGAGGGAGGACTTTTTCCTTGGGGCGTCTTAAGCACCTCACAGGAAGATTTCTTTACTACAGTTGTCTCTACGGGGTAAGAAAATCTATGTTGTTAAAAAACTAAAACAGGACGTTTTTCTTTGAAAATCGCAAACCGAAGCATCCTCTTTGACCAGCTCCTCTCACCATCGTTTTTGCTGGCTTTTCTTGTGTGTACGTGTGGGATTTTTAAAAATAATTTACGAACAAGCTACTACCTGTTCCTCTAATACTCACTGAGGAGCCCTAATGCTCCAGATGAAACCTGGCGGTAAAGCTTTACAAATCCCCGGGCGTGGCCACCGCACACGCAGCCCCCAGATGACGTCCGCCCGCCCCGGCAGGTGACACGGCGTCTCACCTTCCGCGTCCAGCATTTTGGGAATGTCCAGATGCTTCTCCGCAATCTCCATGGCCAGGTTGATATTTCCCACTCAGACCACAGGCTTAAGCAGGACTGCGCGCCAAGGAAACAGCAGACAACCACTGAGTCCTCTGTCTACTCGTATCCCACCCAGCTGTGAGTCGATGTTACTCAAAACACACTTC